GTTGTTCCTTATAAAGAAATTAAATACTTTAGGCCTATCCAAACCTTAAAAAGCTAGTATCAACTTCGCTAGATGATGGTTTATTGAAACAATTACTTATGTAATTACTAAAACTGGCACGTTGGGATTACTAAAACACATTCAAATATCGATATTAGTTACTCGATATTATTTGTCTTTTAACAGCTCGGAATTTTTATCGGTCTCTCTTTATGAATGGCAACTGCCGCTTTTTGGCTTTGGATTTGGGGCTCAGAGATATTCCTCAGTCCATCGAACTAATTACATTGCTCAAATTTGTGCGTGACTCAGACCATGAACCACTTAATCCATGCAAATTACTTAAATCGATAGTAAAATATTTAAACTTCTTTGCTTAATATTGGTATTTTAAAGTATTTTTGTATTAATACTTTTAAGTATCGAAATTTAATATCGATACTTTGAAATATCGTTACTTTGACATATTTTAATAGTATATTTCTCACAAGCTTAAAATTGTATAATATTTTTTCTAAAAAGTGTTGATTAACAGATCCATTGAAAGAATTTTTTTATTGAGATTATTGTCATCGGTAGATTATACACCCTGCGAAAGTCATAAGAAGTCTAAAGGTACGTTACTTTGGGCATTGATTTGATACGGATAACATAAACAAATTAAAAAAGATTAACTCACAAACCCTGTGGGAGCTAAAAAATTCTTCATTTTGATGTCTAGTTTCAATTTTATACCATTTACAAAGAAAATTGGAGTAGCATTGCTGTGTATAGGATCAAATGATCGAAACTGATTCAGACGACCTTGAATTGCAAATAGGCTGTAGAGCATAAGAAGAAGAACTTTCAATTTAACATTTCGTTCGTAACTGTAACTATCAACATATCATTACCTAAGTTATGTTAAGATTGAATTCAATTTTAATAATTAACTGAAAGAAATGAGTTAGAAAATGTTGCTAGTATTAATAGTCTTGGATTATATTCAGGAAATTCGATGATACTTACTGGAGATTATCAATAGAAAAAAATATTTAATTTTTAGTGGTAGTCAATAGCCAATTCACATCTGATCAATGATCGAGTTGCTTTATAATTTTGAACTCAATTCAGAAGACAAGGAAACTCCTAAATCAAGCGATAAAACTAACTTTCTTTCGTGGAGGATTTTTTTCAGTCATATTAGATTTTTATCGCGGGACGTTAAATTAAGAGTTTTCATCGTTATGCTACATAAGCTTTTCGAAAATCCCTATTCAATGATTACATATCCAAATTACATGATTTATAATTTCTATTATATCACATAATGCAGGTATGTTTTAATTTTTCACAATAACAACCAATAATGAAGTAGTACTGCAACCCATTTTTATCTCTATTCATTTATTTTTTTTAAAAAATTGTATTAAAAAATTGTATTAAAAAAGAGCTGTCTTCAAATGTGGACGCAAGGGAGTTTTTATATAATGTTAATTTATGTTTAAAAATATCTTAAACTTATTTTTTTTACCATAAATGTTATGGTTTTGTTTCTGTTTACGTTAGGAATGATTACTTAATAGAAAAAGAACGCTCGAATTGGTATAGAAACTTTAATCTTTCAACTGATGCAGTTTCCCAGTAGCCTCGCTCATAAAACACGAGACAAATCGATTCTGGGACCGGCAATATTTTTTCTTCATCTCAAGACACAGGGGGCAGTGCTACAATGGACTTCACTGACTCTCTACCCACACCCAATCCCATCTTCTGTTTAAGCGCCACTTAAAGAAAGGAAAAAGGGGAATGGGAATGGATCGAATTTTAATCCGGAATCCCTCCCTACTTCCTATCGGAAATACTTGGATCAATGCAAGGCGGAAGATTTCTTTTCCCTCGCAATCTGTGCTTCTAAAAGCAGGATTTATTTTGATTTGCTATTCTCTCTCACGTTAACAAATCTATTTATTCGTATTATCCTACGGATAAGGGTTTACTCATGTAACTTGTACTTGGTCCTTAAGTTCCCCCTACCCTGATATAACTAAGATGCTCCGCAGAGAATCCACACACAACGGTTATCTCCATAAGATTTTTAAAGTGTAAGGAATTTTTGAAGTATAAGGATTTTAAGTGTAAGGAATAATTATACTTTTTGATTCATAAATTTAATCCATAAGTACTTGGCCAAAAATATAATGTATGAAATACATTTATATTTTATTTTATTTCATTACCGTCGTTGAACAGCCGACCCAATTTCATGCGTTTACGACTACTAATGCTCAACTCCGTAGCCTTGTAATTTTGAACCAATCCAGAAGACAAGGAAACTCCTGGATCAGTATCCCCAGAGGTATTAATTTGTTATGGGAACATGCAGAACTTTGAGACTCGACAGTTTTAACGTGCATCAGTCACCATTTACTACACGGGGAGTCTTCGGCCGGCGAGGATCGGACCCACGACCTCTTGGACATGGGCCCAGCACCATACCAACCAGACTATCCCGGTCTAACATTGATATGAAAAGTGTGGTATTACAAACTTGTTTGCACCAAAATGAATATTTCTTCTCAGAGCCTCGGTGGCTCAGGGGATACAGCGTTCGCCCCCCAATGAGGTGACTCAGGTTCGGAATCTCAGTGGTGGCTGGTTGGTAAGAATTTAGCTTCCGGCTTCCACCGACTATAGTGCTGACGTAAAATATCCTCAGTGGTAGGCGTAGACGGTACCCATAGAATCCCCTTGCAGTCGGGCTAACAGTGGGAGGTTTTCGAGATATACCTTTTCATATAACGCAAGTACGGGTTAGTTCCAGAAAAAGTCCTCTGGTTCGTCCCAATGCTTTATCCAGGAGTTCTCTTGTCTTCTGGGTTGGATTCAAAATTACAAGGCTATGAAGTTGAACACTGATAGTCGTCAACTCAGGATTAGGTCAGCTCTTCAAAGCTGGTTGTAAAATAAAATTTTTAATACATGTGTATTTCTTTCTGCTGTCTTACCACTTTAGCTTTAAAAAAAGCATTTCGTTTTGACTTCATGTCTTTAATATTTATGTTATGAATATTTATAGAAACAAGATAGTTATTAATAGAAACAAGATAGCTATCTTGCTTCTATAAATAACTATTTATAGAAACAAGATAGTTCTATCTACCATAAGTTCTAATAATGAAACTACTGCTAAACTGGTGTCTGCTTTGTTAAAAAAAACTGCAATTAAAAAAAACATTATGTACAAATAGGGTAAAAATTATTTAAATCACTGCTGCAAATAAATGATACAAACATACATATAAATGCATGATAATCACACAATGTCACGATCTGTCAAAGATAATCTATACACATTTCTGCTGAAATTATAATTGATTTGTTCATATGATCAAAAACCTTCTTTCAGATAATGAGACCGCCTCGCCTCTATTATTCTTTGTGCTTTCAGAAAACTATTGAACAAAAAAAAAATTTATATTTTAACGTAAAGGAAGAAAAATATTTAAGTCTTTTTATAAAGTCTGGTGTTAAACATAAAATTTATAGTTCACATTTTGGAGTTAGAATGTTAGCATTCTAAAATTATTTCCCTTTAACTTTTAATATTCTTAATTAACTTCCCTTTAACCTTTCCACAAAAAAAAACGCAATTATTTATGTATGCATTATACACTAGCTGAAATAAATATTCGCGAATTGAAAAGAGGGCTGTTCGTGGAAAAAAAAAATCCTAACTAAAGTGGGAAGTTTTAAAAGCAAAGCAAGATCAATAAAACTTCTTTTTAGGTCAAAAATTCCATTAGTTTCGATCATTTACGTAAAAAGGGATGTTTTATACTTAAAAAGCACTTTTTTTAGTAGTTTATTCCAACGATAAATTTTTTTTCAAGTTTAACGAATTCGTGACAAAAATTTTAATCTATCCACGTTCCTATAAGGAATTCAAATTTCTTACATTATACAAATTTAATTCAAAAACGGAAAATAACAAATATCTGTTGTTCTCAGAATAAATTGATTGAAAAAAACGAGTGAAGAAAAATTACAGAAAATTGTTTCGATTTCGAATTGCTTTAACGTGATCTCTTTATTTACCTATAAATAAATAACATTATGCACTCGATTTTGTTAGAAAATTAGGAAAGAATTCAGAAACAGTCAACCTATTGTGTTGTAAATAATGAAAATTGTTTCAAATTAAAATATCTTTATTATTACTGGAACAGTTTAGTGCGTATTGGAAAATGCCAAGCAAGCATAATTGAAAACTCACCTTTGAACTTGCAAAACACTTTTATTAGACTACTAATGTTCAAATTGTAGCCTTGTAATATTGAACTCAATCCAGAAGACAAGGGAAATAACTCCTGGATCGAGTAATGGGAGAAATTTGCCTTCCTGGTGGACTTTTTGAGGGAACTAATTGCGTTACATGGAGAGGAAGACCACGAAAACCTCCCACGGTTAGCCTGACGGCAAAGGGACTAACCCATGATCCGTCTACCACTGAGGATATTTCACGTCAGCACTGTGGTCAGTGCAAGTCGGATGCGGAATTCGTATCGACTGGGAATCGAACCCGATTCGCCTCATTGGAAGGCGAACGCTCTATCCCCTGAGCCCTCGCGGCTCTGGCAATAGGCATTATGGAGCTGTTCTCTTTATCTGACACACCATAAGATCTTAATTCTATGAAAGTTATCGAACACGCAAGTTCGAAACAGGTTCGCGCCTAGCGTTATATTTATAGAGCAGGTCATATTTTTTTTTCAAATCTGAAATCATTTGTGGCGTTTCAGATCTTTAAATATAACATTCAGCAACTCAATATGTGAAAAAATGTTGAAATTGTGTCGTGGTGACTCAGGAAATGGAGCGTTCACCTCCCAATGAGTTCGAATAGCAGCGATGGCTGGTCGATATATATTTATGAGAATTTAATATTTTACCAATTTTATGTTGAAATTGATATATATTTAAAGTGCAATTATTATCTCACATAGAATTTGTCTTTCTAGGTCAAATAGCCAAGAAGGACAATGTTCGTGATATCCGAGAGCGTGCGCCAGAAAATGCTGGTGATAGTTGGGAAGCTGATAAGGACGAAAGATGTGGAATTAGCTGATCCAGTTGAAGCAAAAACGGCAACGCAATTGAAGGTAGGGCATTTAGTTAGAATGTAAAATAACAAACATAGTTTATATAAGTAAGATCAAACATAAAAAATAGCACATTTAAAATAGTTGAGATACTTTATGATATGAAAAAACTGTGGTAAATGTTTTTTTACTTTTCATGCATGCAATTTTTAAGCAGATCTTAGATCAGTGTTTCCGAAAGTAGTATATATCGACCCCCGAGGGTCGACGGCAACCTGCAAGGGGTTCATCTCAAGTGAAAAAAAATTGGGGGTTAGAGTTGAAATACGGGGACAACTCTATGATGTCAACTCTAGCTAGCTAGACTTCCAACTTTATGTGCGCACAAGATCACGAAGATTTGCTACATACTTTTTACGTGAAAACGTAATAAACAGACCGACAATACACTACTACGGTTTTGTATACAAACTTATTTCCGCAATTATAATATTAGTAGCGGAGTACAGGTTTTATTGTGCAATTATTTTATTCCATTTACATATTAATTAAATTAGTTTGAATTTAATTAATAAATGTATAAAATTAACATGTGTTTTCTTCACACTACACTTCACTATAGTTAGAAATTTAAATCTTTCACAGTGAGTAGCACTATACCAGCTGTCAAAAAAACATTTGAAGTTGATGAATTTGCAAAAAATCAATATCAGGAAGGCAGGGGTTTACATGAAACGGAAAAACATGGCAAGGGGTCTGCGAGGCGGAGCAGAGTTCGGGAACCACTGTCTTAGATGCTTTCGTGTCGCTGATTTCAAATCTGTAATCGGTTTCTATCTCCCAGCTACAGTTTTTTTAAAACAAACTTTTTAGTCTATTTATAATCTAAATGTGCAAGTTTAGAAATATTATGTATAACGGGGGTCGCATAGATGTTGCAGCAAAATTCTAAAAGAGTTAAGGCGCATCACCAAGATTAAAACTACATAGGAACCCTTGTACGGAAATGTCATACACAAGGGCACTTCCCTATAATGGATTTATTCTCGAATGCTTCTGAACAGGTCATAAGGGAAGCTTCACTAACCGCGTACGATGATATTTCCAGGTATGGGTTCCTACGTAATTTTAATCCTGATGGTGTGTCCTAACTCTTCTAGAAATTTGTCACAGCATTTACAGGACCACCCCTTATATATAAAACGCTTTTAAACTAGTACATTTCGGCAGAAAATGAACTAAATGTCATTTAAGTAAATCCACAGCCTTAAGAGAAAAACTAATTTCAAATTTGAAATCCCTAAATCCGAATTGGGCAATATCAAGTATTTGAATAAATGAAACAGAAAATTTTTTACCCAGTATAATTCAATAAAAATATCATTATTTGAGTCTAAGATTACTTATAACCTTTTTGCCTCGAAATATAAGGACAAACTCTAATTCCAGATTTATTAAAACCTTAACCTATTAGTATTTACCTTGACTTTAAATCTAAAGATAAATTCTATTAGTCATTTATCTGCACCAGACTAATTACTATAATTATTTAGGGACACGAATGATAGTTTTCTTTCTAGACCAGGCTACATAACTAGCTGCCCTGCATTCTAATAGTACCTTCTATTAAGTTAATCTTCAATATCTGACTTTAATATTAGTTACATGTTACTATACCTGCACTAGAATTTATAAAAACGTGTAATCAGTGTATAGTACAGGTAAGAACTTGTTGTCATTTTTTAATGTGAACTATCTGTAAGTCTCAGAAATAGCAGTCTGTACCGAGGCTGCCATTTTTTGACAGAAATATAAATTATAGCCCTTTGTTTGACCATGAGGGAAAAAATCAGTGTTAAGTTGACCAGTTTTCGACTGGTCAGAGAATAGATTAAATGAAACGTTTCTGTAATTTTTTTTGTTTTTCGTTTCATAGAAAGTACTGACGACATTAGACCTGACATCTCTAGGCGTTGGTAGTTGTGTCGGCACAGGAATGTACTTAGTCGCTGGAATGGTAGCGCACAAAGTAGCTGGCCCAGCCGTGGTCATGTCATTCATAGTAGCTGCAGTAGCTTCATTGTTCTCAGGTAAAGACCCTTATCCTAATTTTCAAAATCAAAATGTTACATTGTTTATATGTCATTCATAGTAGCTGCAGTAGCCTCATTGTTTTCAGGTAAAGACCCTTATCCTAATTTTTAAAATCAAAATGTTACATTGTTTATATGTCATTCATAGTAGCTGCAGTAGCTTCATTGTTTTCTGGTAAAGACCCCTATCCTAATTCTTAAAATCAAAATGTTACGTTGTTTAGATGTCACTTTCGTGAGTCATTTAACAATTTATTTACAATAACATGATTCCTAAATTACATATAGCCAGTATTTAAAATTAAAATACCCTATCGCTTCCATTAATACGTTATGCTGATTTCTGAATCTTTGTGGCCGATTCTCAAGTGCTTATGTCAGATATTACGCTTGTTTGAAAAGCCATGGATGCATCAGCGATTTGCAAGTAAAAACTTATCAAATACTTAATTTCGTAGTAATGTTTATATATTACAGAGAATAACAAAGTTGCCCTGGCACTACTATAAACTTAATTCAAATAAATTTTGATCATCATAGCCCTTCAATAAATCAAACATATATACATCTAAGAAACAAATAATCATGGGATAATTACTTGAAGCATGTGATAGTTTTTTTTCCCAATGTTGATGAAATTAAAAAAAATTCTTATATGCTTCAACTTTCTTTCCTAGCAGTGGGAAAAACTTCCACAAAAAGTGCCAAAAGTTAGCACTTACGCCAATCTAACCACATGAAATCATATATTTAACAAAGTTTATATGCTAGGGTATTTCAAGCATATAAATTGTTCTTCAACCTAAAGTCATTTTTTTCTTTTCTATTATTTAAAGTGAGGCTACTGGTATGCGTGGGATATCGGGAAAAAGTAGCCAAAGCGAAATAATTCGTGATTAAGTGGCTCGTGGAATTTGCTGACCTAATACTTTCATACAAATAGTACTTCGAACTAATTTTGAATGAAAAAATAAGTCACTTTGTAACTTAAGACTTCAAATTACTGTCTATCAAATTCCTTTTTATTTAATTTTTCTGTTATCTACGTAATTAATTTTCCTATAATTTTGACACTTAAGATTAAGTTTCCAAATATTTTATTATTTAAACACTATTTCACTTATTTGCATTGATATACTTCCATGATTTTTTTTATTTTAAGTTAATAGGAGAATCACACTGAAGTAGAGAGGGGGATTTGGGCGATATTTATGAAAGTTGAAAATAACTTATTAATTATTTTGGGTTTTCAAACATATTTTGAAACTAGTTTTCAAGTGTAAATACAGTTTTGAGAAATGTATGCATTGTGCAAAAAAATTTTTCGATGAAAAATGTTAATTTTTAATTTTTTTTCAAGATCATTTTAATTTTTTTTCAAGATTTTTAAAAAGAAAAAAAATTTAAAATCTAATAGTTCGCAAGTTATAATTGTTGTACTTTTTCAAACATCCAGTCACACAAAGAATTTATTTGGAGGAAAGTTATATTGACTTACCAACACAAGAAAAACTCTTTTATAGAAATGAGAGGAAGACTGATAGTAAAACAATTTCATTTCTATGATTTAGAGGAGTAAATTTATTGCGACTGTCATGACTTATTAATCTGTATATATTACAACTGTAATAAGTTATGGTAGTCACAAATGTTTTACTCCTTCCATTCCGAAAACATTTTAGAAACGAGATGGTTTTCTTACAGTTTTTATTTTTGGTAAGACTTCCTGGTGGAATTTTCCTCGTGACAGTCAATTAATCAGTATGTTTTATGATAATTTAGTCCCGCAGTGGACTGATCGTTTAGACACGGTTACCACCAGATCACCGAAGTCAAGCATCACTGGCTGCGGTCAGTGTGCGGATGGGTGACCACTTGGATCAGTCTGCGTAGGGACCGAAAGTGTGCGCTATAGGTCCTCGTTAAACTGTTGTACCGTAAAGTGCTCGACTTCGCGTGCAGGTCGTTGGGCTACCAAAGCGGGGGTGCCATCCCCTCTGCAGAGGATCAAAATTGTGATGGCATATCTTCGGATCATCCTCAGGGATGTTTCTCGGATGATCGTCGCCAATAGCCTATTGTGCAACTCTAGTGTGGCGTAAATGAACTACAACAACTTATGATAATTTAAAAAAAAGGACTGGATTTATTTCTGTAAGAAGTGGCAACGCACAAATAATTCACGATGGCTACAAAACTTTTGAAGTGGTTGCTTAAACAATGAAACATCCTCAGATTTAATTTTATGTTAATATTTCTCCTCCCTTTTATTGTTTTCTTTGTAAATAGTAAAAATTTCACAAAGAGACGTTCGTATTAATGCCCAAATAATTAATTGATTTATCAAGATTTCATACCCAACGCTCTAAATATTTTTACGCAAAATTCAATAAACATAGAAAATATAAAGGGCTTAATTAATCCAATTAACATTCAATCTATAAAGATCAAGAATTAGCATATTTCTATGAAGCTTCAAGTCGAATAGCTCATGACGCATAAATTTTCCAACTTTCATTCCATAAAAAAAGAGGCATAATAAAAAAGGTAACTAAAATCAACTCATGATCATTAAGCAATAAAAACAGTCCTTTACCCTTTACACCCCCATTTACCCGAAATTTCTGGCAGACAGCCAGAAAAACCCGACGTAGATTCTGTAGCCGACTTTTCTGTACCAGTGCTTTTATTAGCGAATGTATATCGATCTGAAAAATATCAAGCTTACACCAGCGCTCTCTTCCGTTTCCGCTTTGCTGCCACTTAAATGGTACTTGTGTTGCTTGCATCTTTGGAGCGCGTTTACCGCTCGAGTGTTTTCACCATTGGCAGAAATAAGAATTGCTCGATAATTTTACGATAAGAAATAATCATGATAATCAACAAAGAATCCGAAATTTTAACACAATAACAAGAATTTGCTCGATAATTTTACGATAAGAAATAATCATGATAATCAACAAAGAATCAGAAAATTTCACACAATAACAAGAATCGCTCGATAATTTTACGATAAGAAATAATCATGATAATCAACAAAGAATCAGAAATTTTAACACAATAAGCTTGGTTTTTTTCCCTTCAATAACAGCTTGAAATGACGTAATTTTGAAATATTACACGAGTATTCAGTTTCGGCCTAACACTAACTAATTCACGCAGAGTTCCTAATTTTTAGAAAAAATAACATGTTGGTAGTAAATATATATATCTTTTGTTTTGATGCGAAATGAACTTTTGTGGCTACCACTGCTACAATCAAGGACATGAAGATCTTTGCTCAGCTGATGTTCTCTTTTTTTAAGCCCAATTAATTTTTCCCCTCAATTATTGGTCATTACAGTTATAAAAAATTATTTTCAGTTCAGCTCGTTATACATTTACTAAAGATTCATACCCTACTAACAAACAATAAACGTTTAGCCTAATGGTAGCATTATTCTGTTTCGTTTCGATAACCTCTTCGCTAGGTAACCTAGTAATAGCTAGAATTTAGGAAATATTGAAATAATGCTTAGCAATCTAGCCCCCTCCCCCGTCCTTGATTAGTGTCTATGATGGGCCCACAAAAACTGTAGAAGATAATTACATCCAAGGCTGAACAAAGCTTTTAAGGGCTACAAGACAAAATTTATTGCGGACCCCTTTCCAAAGCACAAAATTTTTTATATATATATATTTAGAAGAATTTCCTAGGACCCTTTATGCAAAATTGTAGTTTTTATATAGATAAAGTAATTCTGTGCTATTTTCCTTTAAAAAAACATTAATAAACAATAATTTTAATTTTCTTTACATTTTACAATTCGAAACTAATCAAAGGCTTATCAACTTTACTTGACTCCTCGAAATTTATTATGTTAGAGTAGCCATAAATTTCCTTTCAAGATAGTCATAGTTTTTTGATTTTCAGTTCCACATTTTATACTTTTTTTAAGTCAAGTAAAAATAAATTCTGAATAACGATGTCAGTATATAATAAACAATAAAAGTTTTTAGTGGATTATTTGGGGGGACTGCTGTCTTCGGTTTTTACAAGATTACTCCTGTGTTACATAGACGCATACTGCGCCACCTACCTTGTGTTAAAGTTCTAAGATATATGAATATTTAACATTCCAGCACATTGACATTTATTTCGTTTTCTATAGCACTTTTAGAAATCTGTAAGATACGGAAGAATACTGACTAACATATTTTATATCATCATTATTAACATATTTTCTGACTGACATAGTTATATATATCTAACATATTTGACTAACATATTATAACACATTTAATAACGGCTTTATGTTAACATATGTACATGCAAACATAAAGCCGTTCTTTTTTCACTCCTTCATTATTCATAGGTTTCCAAACACATAAGGACATATTCACAAATTATATTTTAAAAACATACTCAAATACAGTATATTTATACGATGTATAAGTACATCGTAGTACGCGATCGTAACAGGTTCTCTCAAAATTATTTTAGGCACAAATTAATTAAATACTGTTGAGCATATAAGAAAGAGAAAAAAAACTAAGTCTTATTACTAAATCGTTGCAACAATTAAACTACTTTTCTCCAAATTATTCAAGAATAAATTTGATATTTTTTATTGTGCATAGCTTTGAACAAAAACGGTGTTCGATAAATGGAAGGAAAGCACAATTAGAAAGCATTCAAGTACGCACGCAAACTTCACATTAATGTATCATTTCTTTCAATTTAACTATTGAATTTTTGGAAACGTTTCATTAAAATAACTTTTTTATAAAAGACCATTTCCTTTTTTTGTGTGAGTACAATTCACCATTTAATGCCATAATTTAAATGCAATAGGTATTTATTTTTTTGTTCATATGTCTCCTGTTTACAAAGTTTGAGTATAATTGAAACTAACACAAAAATTTAATATCACGTGATTGCATGCATATAGAGTGTTGCAATGCGCGTCCGGTGAGATATCAAAATAACTGTGGGGAAATACTATATACGAGTATGGCTTAACTTCATGTTTAAGTTCATTCTTAAACACTCACATTTAGTCTCAAGTAAAGGCACTTTCCACCCTTTGAAGCCACACGCCAATGAGACCAGCAAAAACTTATAATTAGTTAGTTACGAAGAGAAAATTTCTTTTCATACTTCAATAGCTAGAATGGTAAAGAGAAACCATTCTGTAAAAGAAATAAAACTCGTCCTTAGGCTTTTATCATGAGAAAAGAAATCATTGAACTCAACAAATATTTTTCTCCTAACTAAGACATATAATAGCAACATAAAAGCAATATAATAGCGTCGAAGTTGAACAGATAATTTTGAGACTTCCTGAATTAGAAGGTACTGATTAGCCAAATTTTAAAATGAAAGAACCAACCATAAACATTACTATAATAAAATTTAAGTAATTTATTCTGTAAATCAAATTTGAAACGTTCTTATAGAGTGGTAAGTATTTTAAAATAATTTCCCTAATTTTTGTCCACTTTCTATCATAAATTTTTCTTTAATTACATACAAATGTTTTATTACATTATTTTATCCGTTTCATATTTATATTTCAGGCGTTTGTTATGCAGAATTCGGTGTCCGAGTACCTCATACTACAGGGTCTGCCTACATGTACAGTTATGTCACAGTTGGTGAATTTATAGCTTTTGTGATTGGGTGGAACATGGTTTTAGAATATCTTATAGGCACGGCTGCCGGCGCTTGCGCCATCAGTGCTTGCGTTGACGCTATGTCTGGAGGTTCGATTAGCTTTGCAATAAAAAATGGTGTTGGTACTTTGGTTGGTGAGTATTAAAATAAAAGTATTCTACTGGCGATTCATTACTATTAAGTGATATCATCATATATTTTTTTATTATATTTTTACATAGGACACACTCCAGACTTTCTGGCTGCGTTAATAACATTCTTCATGACCTTGTTGATGGTGGCAGGGGTTAAGAAATCTCTACTTTTCACCAATATTCTAAATGCCGTCAATTTATCTGTATGGGTATTCATCATGGCCGCTGGCTTGTTTTACGTGGACACATCAAACTGGAGTGAGCATGGTGGATTTATGCCTTTCGGATGGTCTGGGGTAAGGCTTCAAAAATGGTAGAGGTTGTTATCATTGTGCCATTTACTTTAAGTAATTGAATTTGGCGTCAAACATGGTAATTAATAGTTTAGAATAGACGTTATGAACCGGATTCCTTTATTGAGCCAGGGAGTTTTTATAAATTTGCAGGTAGCTATTAAAAAAAAAATAGCGTATCACCTTCATACAAATCTGTAAAATATTTAAAAATATTAAGATATTTTGGGATTGGTTGGATCAGCATCATTACACAATTTTTTGAAAACTTCTAATGCTTCTAGATTTTTGATATGTGTACATCTATCTAGAATATTAGAAAATCAATATTAGATAATCAATATTAGATTATTTAATTTAGATTTAATTATTCTCGATATACTTTTACTAAATTAGATACAGTGGCATTTTTTACACAACTCAAAGTATGTTAGCCTGGAAAATACTTCTATGGTTGGGTCACCAGCCCATTCGTAGGAACTATTCAATAAAAGCAACTAACAATCAATATGTAAGTTCATTAAATTCCTTATAACAAAGAAACAATCAGTATTAATATGATATAGTTTTAAATATTATCAATAATATTTAAAACGCTTAACGTTTAGCCGATATACATAGTTTGCATACATTGAAATATTAGAAAAGTGCAAAATTCGTTTGGACGTGAATTAACAAGAGTGTGTATCGTTAACGAGAATCTCAAACAAAAATCTCTTTTAGTGGTTCTGTTTATTACCACTTCTTTTTAAAAACAAATTCCTATTTGCCGAATATTTTATTCATTGGAGATTCGTATTTTAAGAAATACTTAGCTCAATAATCCACGAAATTCATCGAATTTGGAATATCGGTCTTGAAAATTTTCGTTACCGGTAGACGGTAATGATAAAGATATTCAAATTACAAAAAGTATACATAACATTCATGGAATATCGGCTGCTAATAATTTTAAAACGAAAGAGCCAGCCCTACGATAGCAATCTTCTCCTATCTTATATGTTTTTATCACTTATATTTTTAACTAGCTTTGGTCACAGACTCTCTAAGTCTGCTTTGAAATAGTTTTTGTTTCCTTAAACTGGATCATCAATATTAAAAACTACTCAATTGGCTACCTACAAGTGTTGTTACTATAGGTAAATCGTGGCATTTGTCGATTCAGGAGCCAATCAATTTGAACACACATGCGTGACGTTGCTTACATGTGTCTAATTAAATCTGATTTATATCACATGGTTAACATAATCACTTCACTTCTTCTCGAGTTGCAAGAATCTAATTAGAAGATCCCAAAATTTATTATTGTATTCAGACTGAAAACTGGTTTCACAGATTCAATTTTCGAGTTTACTGGAATAAAAATTGAAGCTAATAATTTTGCTCAACTACCATAACTACTTCATGCACAACCCTGCTTTTAAAATTCTTATTCATTATTTGATTTCTACAAAAACTCGTTAAATTTAAATAGATTGAAAACAACATTTAAAAATAACAGATGGTAAAATTTTAGTGAAACCAAAACAGGCATCGAGGCCATTAGGTGCACCTTCATCAGTAGGGTAAATGGCAGAGATGACAATTTTCATGATTTGATGTTTTCCAAATATTTGAAAAATATGGTACTATATTTTTCAAATATTTGAAAAGCACTAATTTTACTGTTTGTTACTCTTTACCAGTATATTTCTTTCAATCAGTGTAGTGTAACATCTGTTGTATTATGTCATCTCTGTTTTACCATTTGTGCTACCGATAATGGTATATCTATGTCATACCGAAACGAATCTAGGTTTTATTCGAATTTTACTATTTGTGGTTGTTTAAATGTTATTTTTTAATCATTTTATCACAAAGGGTTACTCTCTTTATATTTCTAAAGTGTTTATTTTGCAATAGTGCGGAAAATTAGTTCTTAATATTGCGTTATTTCAAATAGTTGTTTTGAGTTCATTATTTCAATTGAACATTTGCACTTCAAGAAGACCAGATACCCTCTCACATGTGACTTATGACGTCAACAGATTGTTTATAATCAAAATGGCTAGTTAAAGTTGAGCAAAGTTTCTCCACATAAGTTTCAATGTTAATTAACGCGACGTGATTTAAATATAGCGTCGCATTGCACATCGAATTTGTTGAAATATAATTCTTTCTTAACTACGTCTTTTGCTTATTTTAGATTTATTATTTGTTAAAGCATTTTATTGTATCGGTGATATATTTTTGTTTTGTGTACCTGACAACTTCGATGAATAATTTACGCTCCACGTGGCTTCATGCTTGTTTTTGTGTTGAGTAAGATATATAGTGAAAGATATGATGTATCATTTAAGAGAATTGATACTGAACGGGCTAGGCTTACTCAAAATATAATGGGAAGAACAATGCTAACGTAAACAAATGTCAAATTTCAACAACCAATCAGAATATAGATAGCCACACTAAGTCACTTGCAGGTATTCCATTGCATTTGTTAACTGAATTTCACATAACGTTGTTTTAAAAGTAAATATGACTTACCAAAATCCAAAAGAAACTTTTTTCTGACTGACTGATACATTTAAATCAGAGTGCCTAACACAGAGGGTTATTTTCTCCATATAATTTGATAAAAATTAAGGGTAGGAAGAAGAGAGGAATTACAGCTAAAAGCTAGGTCTGAATTTTGTGAATCTTATAAGTATCAAAGAATTTATCAAGGAATGTGAAAAATAAATATTACTGATATATCGCTTTATCGCTTTTATTAATTTTATGCTGATGACAACCAAACACATTTGTGTTCTTTGAATCATAGATCAGACAACGTGACTTCTACTATTCGTCATAATATATGTTTTTACTATTTTTACGAGACGAAGATTTTTCTTCAAAAGATGTTTATGTATAGTTAGATTCAAAATAATCTCTTATAAAAATATATTTTCTTGGTAGCTAATATTTGTTTTTTTTTTCATCTAATGTATCAGTCCAATTTTTAGGTTTTGTCTGGCGCAGCTGTATGTTTTTATGCTTTCATTGGTTTCGACATTATTGCAACAACTGGAGAGGAGGCGAAAAATCCCAAATGGTCTATTCCCATGGCTGTAATCATTAGCTTGGTTATTGTCCTAACTGCCTACATTACTTCTAGTATGATGGTGAGTAATCTAGTACCTCTACCCAAACCGGTAATGGAGATCTTTTTAAGAGCACTTAAAGTGCATTTTGACGGAGAAAAGTCTCCAATAAAAAGATATTCTTTAGTTTTGTACTTCTCGATTCTTCACAATTTGAAATATTTCTCTAAGTAAATGCTTGTTAAAATACCTAATTTCATTTTTTTAATACTTTAGCAAATTAATTCAATTTGTTCTTCAATATATTTTAATTTTGAAATGAACTACTTTTATCTTCCAAGTTTATTAAATATATTTTTAAGATTGCCCTTTTCTGCTTTTATTTCATATCAACTAATAATTATAAATTAAAATGTGCTAAGGAGTCTTAAAGCTTTGTAGAACAATATTAAGTTTCTCACTTTGTTACATCTTGCTTATATTACATTAGGAAAAACTGCACTAAATAAATTCATAATTCATGATTACGAACTTCGATACTTTCATACTTACTATTCTGATGGATTTATTCTAATAAAAATTGACTCAAATTTATTTCTTTGCTATGTATTTTTTCTTTGCTATATATGTATTTTTGATAAATCCTTAATAGTTTTTAATATCATCTTGAGGTTTCGTTAATAATATTAGACAGATAAATTTCTTTCTATCGTTTTAAACATGGATGGTTATTCAAGCTTGTGACAACAATAGTAAATGTGACTTATGATTTTTTTATGAATATTTCTGGTATTAATTCCTTAAAAATGGTTTATTTTTCGCTCAGTTATATGATTAAATGAATATTTATAAGTTGCATTTTATTACGTTCGATTGTTAATTTATGTTAAAATTATTTTTCCTAGCTCACGCTCATAATTCCATATGAAAAAATAGACGCCGAATCAGCTCTAGTAGAAATGTTCGCCCAAAAAGGTGCTTACAGCTCTAAGTATATTGTTGCAATCGGTGCACTCGCAGGTTTAACTGTCAGCATGTTTGGTTCCATGTTCCCTATGCCGAGAATTGTATATGCAATGGCAAAAGATGGACTCATTTTTAGGTGAATGTTTTTTTCATTCCTTTACTATATTCAGAAATACACTAGATTAGATATGCAAGTATTTATTTTTAAATATAGTATTATTAATAAGTTTTTATCTCATGGTAATATAAGTACATTACCTTTATTAAATTTGTGTTAAAATGAATTATTATTTCGCTCTAAATACCATCCCAGATGGCAAACAATCTTATGGCAAACGTTGTACTTACATTTTTTTTATTGTCCCGAAGTTTGACTGGTTAATCAATATTCCAACAAAGCAGAAATGTTACCATGCCAATATTCTTTTTTAAAGATCGAATATGGGCTCGCATAAACCATTACAAAAAAAAACTTCTTGGCTTTTATTGCAAACCTTATTTTTGAACTTTTTTTTTCTTATGCATGTTCAGGTTCTCAACCGCAATATTTTTTTTAATGATGAGAGTTTACTAATCAATCCAATCCTTGACTTTTAAAATGTTAAAATTTTTTATCCTTTGCATAAAAATCTTGATACAATGAGATAAACCTTGTTTTTTAATTATTCTTTCGTATCGTTGCATAAATACGACAAAAACCTTATTTCTCGTGAAACAATATCAGTCTCGATTTTCAGAAGGTTTTCTAGCCTTGTTTAGTCAAGGTATATTTAATATATATAAAAGGGCTTTTATGCAATCTTAATGCGAACCTCACTGAGCATAAACCATCTTAATTTAACATTGCTTCATGTTTTTATGGTTTATTTTCTAGTCATACCTATTCGTCAGAATTAAGTGCCCAAAATTAGAGGAGAAGGGGGATGTTCTGAGAGGTCAATGTGCGTGAATAAATTGTACTTGTTTTAAAGCATACTTTATATAGTGGTAGTTTNCTTATTATTTCCCACCCCCTTTTTTTCATGTCTATTATTTTTCTTTGTTTTATTCTTCATTTTGAACTTATATATATATATTGAAAACATTGAAAAACGTAATAAAATGAGTTAGCAGACTATCCACAGTAAAAAATTGTAAAAAGTAGTCTCAAAAATACAGATATGACTTATGTAAAAAGGATGACAGCTACCGGAAAAATTAAAAAAAAGTGATGACAAATATTTCATGAGGCTGCTGGAATTTTAAATTTTAATTATAATTTATTATAAGAATTAAATTGGTTGATACTATAGAATTTTTTTCTATTATATAAAAGGTTTTTAAAAGCAAACGTATTTTTTTTTAGCAAATTGACGATTTATGGAAAGTAAATCATTGTTTATCTTAGAATTAATATGTATTGTACACATAATACTTGAAATCGGAACTATATTTCTATTTTGCATACGGTTAAAGTAGTTATCGAGCCTGCGAGTATTATTAAACTTTATTTTTGGAAAACGCAATTGAAAACTATTTTTAATTTCAATTTTTAAAAAAAACGTTGAAATTCCGAGTTTCTAAAAGCATTTAAATTATAGTGCAAAATGCAAATTTTTATTCAAGTGTAAAGGTATATTTAATATGAAAACAAATTAACAAATAAGTGACAACAAATATTTTGCATTTTTTACTCATTACCATTTTATTTTACCTTGAAATAATACTTGCTCTGCTTTGTAAATTAATTTTTTCTGATGGTCGCAAAGTGTTAGTTTTAATATATAAATTATCGATTTAGTTAATTCGATTTAAATTGATTTCGTTCACCAACACATATAAATAAATCAAATATGTAGCTTAAGAGCTAAAATGCTTTATATACAAAATTTTCCGACTATATAAAATCTTTTGAGGAAAACGCAGTAATTAGAATCTTTTAATACCACTAAGAGTAAATCTCTCTTAATTAACAAATGTAATGCAAATGATCAAATTCATGAATTATTTATTTCTCTATTTTAAGATATTTTTGACAATTTATTTGTTATTGTTCAGTTGTTTAATTGAAAAATGCAGCCCTTCGCAAACAGCGCCGATATTTTTGCAATGCACCAAACACATTAAGAAAATTTTCACTATTTCCATAGGTAAACAATAGATTTAATCTTAATACAAACAACCTGCATGGTTTTAAATTTATTATAAAATGTACGGACATTATTCAGGCTAATTTTGCACTTTTAATAAGACTTTTAACGATAAGTCTTCAGAACTCTGGACTATTTGCAAACAGTCTGAAATAAATCGAGTTAATTGAGAAGTGGGTTTCGAATTATCCTAAGGGTATGTGGGTTCAATACATTGGCTTAATAAGTGCTCGTCTGATTATAAAATCCTGGGAAATTTTTAAATTAGCCTGGCGTATCCTAAATGACGACGGCTGTTTGCAATGAACAAAGTTATTTATTTATCATGCGACATTCATATATATCTTAGAATAATAGACTTTCTTATATATTTCTTTTTAGAACACTGGCAGTGGTATGGCCTTTCACCGGAACTCCAGCCAAAGCAACATGCATTCTGGGACTCATGACAGCTTTTGTATCACTGATAATGAGTCTCGATGTTCTTGTGGAAATGATGTCAATTGGTAAAAACAGTGACATTTTTGCTCTTAGCTCTTTTTATGAAAATATAATTGACTAGATAATATGTTTTTAAATGATTATTTCATGATAGTTGCAATGATTTTGTTTGATCAAATATGCCGACGTAAAACGGAGAATAAAAAATAATGTTTGCGCAAAACAGCAGGTCTGATTTCGAACTAAGTATGTCGTACTACAAGGGGTGATCAAATGAAAAGGTACGAAACGACGTAAAAACGTAACAGTTAAATATTTGCATATTCCGCCATGGGAGAACGTAGCGAGACATATCGGGATGCGATTGGAGTCCCTGACGGGGGTCGGAGCGTGCGCGGGCACCCGCATGCGCAGGAGAGAGCAGAGGCTCTTATCAAAAGCAGCGTCTAAATGATGCAGCAGTCCGTATGAGGAACAGAAACTCGAGCACAGAAAAACCATTAACTCCTATGTGTACTGTGAGACACTCCGACGCCTACGCAGGTTCTTAAGAACAAAAGATCAGGGGCTGCTCACAGAGGGTGTGGTTCTGCTCCATGATGACGCGCGTCCACACGTCTCCAGAGTCACACACATGGAACTAGCCAAGTTCAAGTGGGAGACGTTGGACCATCCGCCCTACAGTCCGGACATGTCATCCTGTGATTTCCATGTGTTTGGTCCACTGAAGAAACGCCTGAAAGGGAAGCGCTTCAACTTGGACGACGTACTCAAGGACGCTGTGAAGGACTGGGTCTCGTCTCGGCCACAGGAGTTCTGGGAACAAGGAATCCTGCAGCTTGTTCATCAGTGGGATCGTTGTGCTCAGGCCTATGGTGTATATTTTGAATAAAGTCTACATTTGTACCCACCGTGTCGTTTCGTACCTTTTCATTTGATCACCCCCTGTAAGTATAGATGTGAGTAGGAATGATGCATGACAGTCTCAGTTGTCATTCCTGATAAGAAAGGTGCAATGTCCAGAACCAAAGATTGTGTATTTAAAATCTTTCTAAGAGCACTGTGAAATAAAAACTCATCAAAATTAAATGGCAGTAATATACAGGCAATAATATTCGAAAAAATGTAAGGGTTATAGTTCTTCTCGGTAGTGGGCAATATTTTTCAACGATCAGTTAACAGCGAAAATACACACTGTAAAAAATGGATACTCAAATATCACAAAACGTTTCTGACGAAACAGTCTCCTATTATATGATCAGAGCGTATATTTTGTCAAAGTGACGAAATAAAGACGAAACGAATTTCGTCAAAAGTAAAAATATTTCGTTATTCTATTTTTTAAAACAGAAAAAAACCCTCGTAGTGCCTAATGTATCCAACTTTTATAATAATCACTTTATCGAGGGCTTCATATATATGTCACAACACTACAAGTACAGCTAGAATAGAGGGGTAAATTTCAACCACGCCCGAAACGAAATTAAAACTCCTTGACTTTTATAACCATACAAACCGGTAGGCTGAATTCGTCCATTTTCGATTGTCTAATCTTAATTCTAGTTTCATCATTTTAGGTTAACCATCTCCGACAATGCATTGCAATGAAGTTTGGAGTTGAGGAAACATTTTCGTAACACATTTGAAAGCAAAAGTGAGAGTTATTTTTGATGGTGCAGTAGTATCTCACAAATCCGAATAATAAAAGCCGAAATTACTTCTAAAAAATAATCTCTCCATTAAATATCTATCATTTAATTTCTCATTCCTTTAACTTCATAAAAAAAAGTTTTAAAAAATCATAAAAGCGTTGCGTGGATAAATAAGAGATTCGCATTCATGAAATAAGAATCATGCTGTATGTGAATACGAATCGAGACGAAGAATTCTAAAGCATGTATCTGAATAGGACTCGCAATATAACGTCGGAAAGTAACCATCGAATTCGCTTTCATTTGCATACACAGATATAGCGACTAAGTGAAAAACGTTCAAATGCAATTCTAACTGACAAATTTAAAAATTGTGGCTGAAATTCCGATTTATTCTGATATAAAACTTTGTTTGAATACATAGGCAAAAATTTAGTCAAACGTCGTATTTCATTTACATGACGGTATTCGGAATTTCGTATGATCCAAATTTTCAGTTATCAGGAATATTTAAAGAGACAAAACATATTAATCCCTTCACGATCGGTTAATTTTCAAGAAAACGGTCATAAAAGCGCCTATTTTTATATCATATCACAAATACACGTATTTGATTAGCGCTGACATCTAGTTTAAAATAAACTAACTATCTACATTTACCTTAAAAATATCCTGGTACTGCCATCTGGTGCGTGAAATGAGAAATAAAATGAAAGAAATGAATTAGTTTTATTCTTTTTGGCGCGTTACTACTGAACACTCCAGCCGGTAAATATCACAGGAGAGAGAAATAGAGGGCGAAACCTCACCCCGTCATTTTCACGGGAGCGAGAAGGAAGGGGTTAAATGTTGCTTAGTTGTATGCATGTTATTTTTAAATAATGTGTATTGTCATTGAATAGATCATTACACGTTGTATAATTTTTTTTATATAGTATTTTTACATCATGTTTGCATTTTCAAATACTAATATTTTTATGTACTTGAGGGATTGACCTTAAACATATTGTCTACATAACTAGTACAGTCAAGTTATGGAATCGAGTGAAATTATTACTAACTTAAGTTTAGAAATCAGATACAAAATTTTACTTTCTTTGAAAAATATATCTTGCTTAACCGAATCAGATTTTTAAGTTTACAAAAGAGTGAGATACATATTCAACTTGGAAAACATACTACATACGGTTTATTGATTTCTTCACATATTTCTAGAACTATTTATAAAATTTAAAATTTCTTTTTCAGAATTATAAAACTAGTTTGTCTTAATAATCTCATTTAATTCATATAAGTTTTGCATTGTACTTTTTTATGATTATGTATTATGATTATTGTTGTGCACTGTATGTAAACAATTTGACTAAATAATTACTGTTCTACTAAAACACACTTTCGTTTTTCTAACTGATTACAATGTTCTATTAATACAATTATGATTTTAGATGATGAATTTAAAGTAAATTTTATTGTACTGCTAGTTATAATATTTGGATACTAAGAGCCCAGCTCTCCTAAATATATTTTTCAATAATAATATTTTCCCGACTAGTTTTCGAACGATACTTTTCAATCATTTTAGCATTCAGTTTGATACACATTACAACAATTATTTTTTCTTGTTGCTAGGATTAGAATGATAGAATGTATTACTAGATTAAGATTAAACGTTAGCAAAAGGTTGATTATAAATCTTTTATTAACAGAAAAAATTACTTCTGCTCTATCCTTTACTTCAGAATTTACCAGATGAAATTAAGGATTTTTTTGGTGCTGCATGAGCTAAACACGAATAAAGCACAAATAATGGTGCAAAAACAGACATGCTATAGTTTCGATTCTATAAACAAGAAACCTGCTCAGTTTCAAAACAGAGAATATTACAAACACATGCATTCCCTGTTTTGACACTGAAGAAGATTCTTGTTTATGGAACCGAAACTACCATACATCTTTTTTTTGGGACCATTATTCGTGCTTTATTCAAGTTGTTTAGTCTTATTCACCTGAATTTTCATTCTCATCCTTTCTAATAATAAATACGTTTTGTAGGCACACTAATGGCATATACTCTTGTATCAACCTGCGTCCTTTTGCTGCGTTACCAACCACCTAGAACTACTCTAGTACAACTACTACCTGAGTCTATTCGCTCAGCATGTCCCACTCCTTCTAAAGAGCATCCTGCACCCGTTTTTCCAGCAACTACAACAACCACCATTCATACGAAACGAACAAACCGATACGATTCTTCAGATAGCGATGAAAGTCCAAGAGGTGATCTGGACTTCGGGGATCATCAACGACCCGATTTAATCAGGGACGCAGCTCAGAGAGACGATGATCTATTGATGCATGGTACAGACACAAGTTATGGTGCAGTTCCTCCGCCTCCCTCTTCTTCTCAAGCCCCACCTCTAGCAGCAGTATTTAGCTTACCACAAAGGTTAGTAATAATGTTGGGTTGGTTCAGAATTATATTCAACAAGACATTATTCTCTGCAAACAAAACATAGCAACGCAAATAAGACGAATTCTGCAGAGTCACAGAAAATCAAAAACTAAGATGATTCTACACAAAAATTAAAACTTTTGTATAGGGATCGGTCTTTCTGACCTAATGTGATCACTTAAAACGTTTATAAAAATTCAATCCCATTTATTTTGCTATTTAAAATTTATGTTTATTTTTTAAAAGAATTTTAATACAGAAGCAGTTGCACTCCAAAAGCGATTTATTCTAAAACACACATTCACAGAGTTAGCTCAAATCACCTAATTTTCTGCTGCTCTCTTGCATCAGGTTATTTAGGGTGTTATTTAATCAGTGTTTTGAGCGAGTATTATAGTTAATTATTGTTTTATTAATGCTTATAACGGTCATGGGCTGTAATAGCGGCACAGCTCAAAAAATCATGTTTTGAGATTAGTGGGTTTAAAGTTTTCATTGCTAAGGAAAATGCATAAGAAATGCTTTAGCTTGCTTAAACGAAGATAACCTTCAAATTGAATTATGAGTTGTGCTAGTATTGCTTCTGAAAAGAATGCGTATTTTCATTTCATTTTTACACCTGTTCTTAGTCCAAAACGCGTGTTTTTTGAGTTGTGCCACTATTGCAGCCTATGAGCGATAATTTTTTATAAATAAGTGTTCTGATTCTAGCAAGAAAGTTTTGATGCTAATAACATTAAATTTTATTTTATAAAAAATTTTAATGGTCAGAGTATCTTAACTTTCAATTAAAAGGGATTCATGAGAATGTATAATCAAAAAAAGTTTACTGAAATGTGCATCAACAAAATATTTGTAACTCCTTTTTACTTATCTTTACTCCTAGATTACTCTTTTACTCTTAATTTCTGAAGAATAGATAAAGTATTAATCATAAAAGTGAATGTTTTTATTATAAGCGTAATACAACTATATAAAGTATAATAATAGTAAGCATAGTTTCGATTGATACGTACTAATTTCGTTTGAGAGATATAGTAATAAAATACACTTTTTTAAAAGGTGATATTTTTACATCTAACTGTTCTTTTGTATTGTTTCTATAAAGCTACTTTTGAAGTCTCTGGAATTTTCACTAGGTAACAGCACAACGCTGAAAAATATCATATTGCCTTTTTATATGTGTTTTCCACGTAGCTCTTAATAAACGTTCTTCTGGACAATTTTAAAATGCGACTAACATGTGGTTCGTTAGATTGAACCAAGCCCTTAAACTGTAAGGAGTGAAAATGTTGTTCACACAATAATACCAATCGGATGCACTAACCTTGGTAATTGTGAACAGTACATGTATTACAGCAAGAAAATTTGTAGCTATAGTTAATGCATGCTTTTTGAAACTCACAGTATTTCTATTTCATAAAATTTAAATGATTTTAAACATGTATATTCTAATTCGATAAGACGAATCACGTGAAATTTTTTAATGAATAAAGAGCGTTCTGATTTTTTTTTTTACTTTTCATTAACATGAAATTAGCAGTATATGTATAAGAGCCTAGCTATAATCTGTTATAACAGCGATTCTTTTTAGCAACAATTTTTAAAATACACCATGAGCTCACAAGAATAGAAAAGTTTGGGACAATGTAAGAATAAGCCACTTACATAACATTACTACATACATTAATTAAAAAGAGCATACATATCTGAGCAAAACGGGGATTTTGATGTTTCATTATCCTAGAAAATTTTGTTATGCTTTTAAAATGTGATTTTGGGTACTAATAAATTCCCGGACAGTTTTTTTTTGATGATTTTCTTTATATTTGGTTTTAAACTTTTTCTCTTACACTTTCGGTTCAAAAACATATCGAAACAATAAAAATTCATCTGTAAAAAAAACTGGAAGATTTGTACAGATTAACGGTTCACAAATGGTGTTACGAGGAACCCTAAGGTCATAGGGGTTTCGAGAGTTAAGACTTCTTTTAACCAGCTATGATTTTTGAAACCTGTAGTTAAATTTGTATCGAATTAACAATCCATTATTTATTTAACATTTTCGTTATTTTTATGAAATTATATTTAATTGAAATCTGTGTGAAAAAAGAAAATTCAAAACAATATTTTTTTCCTAATAACAATATAATAAATAAATTATGAAGAAGAATGTATTTATGAATTATTGAATTAGTATTTCCCATCAAATAGGAATAACAAAATTAAACAATGAAGAAGCATGTTTCGATGATAAACATTCTTTACATGTATTTTCGCCCTTATTGTTTTTATTTTAACGGAATCTAACCGCTCTAGACCTGTCAATTCAACTGATACAAAACCATTTTTTAGGAATAATCTTGATAAAACTAAGCGATGAAATAATTTCATTCTCCATTATTTCATGACATCTTAACAAAATAATAAAAAAACATTTAGATCATTATATTTTTCCAAAATAATTAATACTCTTTAGTTAATAAGTTCACAAACGCTAATGAAATTTATTCTAAGTCTGAGGGTTCTGCCAAAATAAGATCTTTCATTTCTACAGTCAAAAAAAATTGGGAACCGCTGGTCTAGATTTATAGAACTTTAGTAAATTAAATTTGCATTAGCTTAATATTCAGTTCACTACTCAATATTGAGTTGTTATTCCTTTTATTCAATCGAAGTTGGCTAATTATTACTTTAAATATCGTCCTAAGGATTATGATGAGACTTTTACGTTTCTTGCCCTACCATTGGGTGAATCCAGGCGAGGCATCAGCAGCGACAGGTATCTTTGTCATGAAGATGGTGGGTGTGCTCTATCTGCTTATCATCATCATGGATTTGATCGTAGTGTGTGCGATGCCCGCTCTAGAAAACAGAAGCGGTGCAGCGATCTTCTTCCTGCTCGTCTTCCTATTCGGTATCATTTTCTGCCTCATCATCATTTCACTCCAACCACAAACTAGGTGAGTCTCTTCTCTCCATCCAACCATTGATACCTTTTTTTTAGTTCGAAAATTATATCTCAAAAATAAAAAATGACTAACTTTCCCCCCCCCCCTCAAACTAAAACAAGCTTTTATTCCTAAAGAACCTTTGAAAATATGAATTTCATTTAACTTCATCCTAAAGTACAGTCAAACCCCGCTATAGTGAACACGGTTTATAGTGATCTCCCGGATATAGTAATATAGTTCGGTCCAGAGCCTTGCTATGCACGTATAATGTTATTTTTTGTGGAAATAGTGAACTGAAAAAGTGAGGAAGTTGGATATTATGAAATTTTTTCTTTCTACGACGAATTTTTTTAAAAAATAGTTTTGAAATGTCTACTTCAAAATAAATACTTATACTGACTTTTAAAACCATCTGTAGAGTGGAATGTAGCGTTAAGCATTTTCGCTTGTTTGCTTATTTTATTACACTTTTCCATCCCTAAACTAAGGCCTACCCAGGCAGATATATGAACAAATTTTTCCCTGCATCAGCTAAAGATTACTAATTTTTTTTGTACACAAGACGAAGAGTAATAACAAATAAAAGCAAGTTAACACATTTTTTGCTACTACGTATTATTTTTCAGTCATTTTTGTGTTTCATTTTATTGGTCATTTATTTAAATAATGTATAATGAAAAGAAGGAGTTCGGAATCATTAGTTAAAATTGTTTGTGGAACGAATATAGTGAACTCTCAGTTATAGTGAACCGAAATTTCGGTCCTTTGAAGGTTCACTATAGCGGGGTTTGTATCATTTTTCATTTACCAGTGGTTAGGAAGTTTTCAAAAGTCAGAGTTTATTGATATATTTTAGTTTCTTAGTGTTGAGTGATCTTTTTGATAATATATAATGTAAATAATTATTGATTAACGATCTTTTTATGTCACTAATTTATTGATAAATCATCTTTTTTATGATGTCACTAATAATGATCTTTTTTATGTCGTTACTAATGTGCTAAAAAAATGATCTTTTTTATGATGTCACTAATTTATTGATCAATGATCTTTTTATGATGTCACTAATTTATTGATTAATGATCTTTCTTATGATGTCACTAATTTATTGCTTAATGACCTTTTTATAATGTCACTGATTTGAGATGAACAAAATATGCTTTGCAAGCAAATATGAATAAATCAAATGTAAAAGGAAGCTTTTTTTAAATATATAGAATGGGAATGTTTTCTGTAGAAGTTTTAGACAGAGTCTGACTAAACTCATCTACTTTCCGTATAAATGGTGATTGTCACCAAAATTACAATTTCGTATTTCTGATATTATGTCAAATATTTATCAAATGCACAATAAACCTATCCTCAATTGAACTTTTTTCTGCAAACATGATTTAGTTACAAACTTAGGGTGAAAACGGCCAGCATTTTAGCAAAACTTAAAAATATGAGACTATTCGGAATACTGTATTGCAAAATTTAAATTACGGCTTTCATTCATCCAGGGTCTTCTAAAAGAGAGTGATTAAAACTCAAATTTTTACGTAGAAGGTTCCCTCACAATGTCAAAAATAAACTAGTTTACAATCTCTAAGATGAAATGAAAAATATGAGGCATGGAGACGTCTCTGCAAACTCTAACTTATGAGTTTATTTGGTTACGGTAAATTGCATATGAACGCACAAACTTTCATATTGGTTAAAAGTTTTTAAGGTTGTCTTTATCTCCAAAGCACATCATGCTATCACTATTGATTTTTAGATAAAATTAAGCACTTTGAGAATATCAGATAAATTTTTTGTTATAGTTCAAAATTAACATATTTTTTTCCATTAAAATTATGGTTTGCCATAGTTTGCAGTAAATAGTTCGCTCAATTCAAGTTTCGCTAACTTATTAAAAATTACCATAACACATTTTCTGTAATTATTTTCCATAATATTATAATTATTACAAAAACAAGTATTCTAATATTTAAATCATATGACTCATGAAATGTATTAGTTAATTATTTGTATTTGTTTCTAGAAAACCGGTAGTTTTAAGATTTCTGGATTTACTTTCAAATTCCTATTTATTGCAACCATTTAAATAAAATTTTAATAACGACATCTTCAAAATTGTAGCTCAAATGCAAAATATTCCCTCAACACTGAACTCCTAATATTTTTTACACTTTTGTTCACAGGCATCGAAAATATTAAAAGGTTTGAATTTTAATTTGGACAAGTATAATTATTTAAAGAATTTAACAAAAAGTCACCACTTAAAACTGGTAAATTGTAAACAAAATGACTGATCTTATTCGAACACACTAAAAAATAGCTAAAATTTATGCAAGAAATAAAACGTTGTTCACAGAAAATATACTTCGCATAAAATATGCAAGGTAATTCAAGTCTCATGAAGCTTATATTGAAATAAAATTACAACCATTGCAGAAACAATTTCAACATTTTTTATATAGCAAGTGCATTTAACGTTTAGAATATTTTATACGTTAATTATGTCTAACAAAGGATAAAGTATATTTTATGCTATGTAGACCGAGGTAAAAAGCAACGCGAATAAAGCACAAATAAAAGTACATAAGCGGACATACTATAGTTTCAGTTCCATAAACAAGGGCATTCTTCCTATTTAAACACCAAATGATGAAATAGAAATTAAAGAAACAAACACGTGTAAAGCTAATAATCAATAGCGACAGATAACAAGTTTGAACAAAAAATATAAAAATGAGATAAGAAACTAAGAAACAGGTGTGAAAGGACTTTTGTGTGAACCACAATGTGTAACAAATTAAATTGTGTATATACTTCCAAATATTTAAAACTGTTGGATACAAGAAAGTTATCAAAAAATTTTTTAGAATTTTTCAAAATGAAATAACTCCCAAAAATCAAGTTCGGAGTATGAAGAGCAGTGATAAATAATATTAGCAGAAAAAAAACTCAAACCTGTGATTTAACCTCGAACTATGTAGAGCGATAGAAAATCAATAAATGTAATAAAATAAGGTAAGGTAATCAATAAATGCAATAAAATAAGGTCTTGTAATAAAATAAGGTAAGGCGATTTTGGACACATCTTTCGTGTTTCGTTCTCCGTGTAACGCTAATGCGGGTTGGTTTAATCAAAAAAGTCCACGAAGGCAAATTTCCCCCAATACATGATCCAGGAATTCCCTTGTCTTCTGAATTGGGTTCAAAATTACAAGGCTACGGAGTTGAACATTAGTAGTCGCAATCCCTAAATTAGGTCTGCTGTTCAACGACGGCTATAAAATAAGGTAAGGCGATCAAATAGTTGCAGTTCGAATTAGAGAGTTTGGACAGCGATAGCTTTAAGGTAAAGGAGCTCTTCATTGAGGATATAACTATTAAAACAAATTAACTTTAATTATGTTCCATTCTGATTTATTCCTGTTACATTAATTGAAACATAAGACTTTGTTTCGATAATAATGCATCTCTTAAACTGATATGTGCCTTTTTTGTTTTAAGATGCGATCTCAAGTTCAAAGCTCCCTGTGTTCCATTTATTCCTGGCATAGCTATAACTGTTAACATCTACCTTATCTTCAAATTATCTGTCCTTACTTTGGTGAGGTTTCTTATTTGGATGACTTTAGGTAAGCATCTTTGAAACTAAAACAAACCCCCTCTAATACTTGCATAGAAATTTGTTATTGTGCTTATTTCTTGTAATAAAAGAAAATCTATGTATTTTACTTTTATCCTTTTTAAAGCGAGCTCGAGCGAGTTAGATATTAGTCCAATATTTGCAACCATGGTACATTTTAAATCAAGTTTAAACTGATTAAAAAATTTTCTTCCCCTAACTACCATTTTTGCTCTACACTAAAATATTGTAAGTACCTGGGTGTCTATTCTGGGTGTTTAACTTAACTTCGCTAAACTAAATTATCCTGATTGACCTTGATAAGATGTGCTTTTTAAAGTGATCTTTTGTGTATTAACAAAATGTTATTTCGCTCAATTAAGAAAAAACAAAACCTTACGGTTTAAAGCAGAGCAAGAAATTTCAGTTTTAAAGGTACTAGTCGGACAAAACTTTTTGTTCGCCACAATTATCAAGAAAAATTATGAACAATCTTTTAAAAAAATAAACATATATAGAATGGTTATTCTTTTGGGTAATAAAACCATAAAAAAATGTAGAAACTGAAAATTTGAATCATATTTTTTGCAAAATAAAAGTAATATTAACTTAAAATAAGATTGCAATGGTTCGATCCATTATCAGCCATGTGTCCTAAGAAATCATTAAAATAAGAAAATTAAAATATCAAAAATACTTTTAACACTTTGTGTCATGGAATTGTAAGCGATAGCTGACATGGCGTTCAAGAAGTGGAGCCCATAAATTTGGAAGAAAAAAATTGCTTAATAGAAATCAGGAAAAATTTTGATACAAAAATTTTGTTTGCTTATTTAAAATTATTAACATCTGTATTGTTTCGTGTTAATTTAAAATTTAATGCAAAATAGTACAGATGAAAAAAACTACAATGGCACTCTTTCTGCTGCAAAATTAGCGCAAAGAAATTAAAATATATTTCATTTAGTTGTTTGGGATGTTTTAAAAACCCTTCGGGCTTTTCCTTTATTCAAAAAACCCCTTAGTTTTTTTTTGGCTGACTTCTTTTGCATAATCAACCGATTCTATTATTTTCCAATTGTTTTATTATTGAAGTTTTATCAGCTGTTGGCTATATTAACTGCTTCAAATTGTTCTGCATAAAAGGCATTAAGTTTATTCAAACCTGTATAAAATAGACTCCATAGTGTCATGCTTGAGAATTTGCTTTTTCGCTTGTAAATGAGGAAATAGCACCGGAAAGAACAACCCTAAAATAAAGCATTCGAAGAAAAAGGACTGGAATAAAAAAGTTCGTTATGAAACCTGTGCCCAAAATTAATTAACTTTTGTAAAAATTAATTAACATGTAAAAATTAGTTTAAAGTTAATGGTAAAAACTTTACACAAAATTTTATTTAAATTACTGGGAATCTTAAGGATTTCAAAAATATTCTCAATTCTAATAATTTCACCTATGGTATTATGATATAATAATCATAACCAAATTAATTTTTTTTAAATTCTTTCAAAGTGAAACGCTTCATCAATTTTGTTAGTAATTTTAAGTTTAAACACGATTAATCCTCTGATAAACCATTGTTAATAGTTGTTGTGATACCATCAAAGAAGAAAGATGCCTAATTAAAAAAATATGTACTTTCAAATTGGTTATGAAATTCACATAATTTTTGAAACAAACACACTGATACCTTGTGAGTCAGTTTTGCATAACAATCTTAAAAGGACGTTTTTATTTCCGATGTTTCTTTTTCGGACTATTTTGTTTGTGATTCTTTTTAACGATGTTAATTTTGTCTCCTGAAAATTGAACTAATCAAAATATTACTCTCAGTTACCAGTGAATTTTATAAGGAATTTGTAATGTGTTCATAAATGACATTGTTAAATTTTAAAAAAAACTAACCGACTAAAAAAAAATACACATCTATACTTGTGTTTGCTGAAATGGGGGGAGACTTATAAATTTATGAAGGATGTCCCTATAAGCCTTGTAAATGATGAGCATTCCTCAGGAACACTAAGCATCAATCAGCAAATGAATATTCTTATTTCGCTATTCAGTTGCTACTAAATGTGTGCCTTTTGCTGTAAAAAGAGACAAAACTGACACAATCGTTCTTTAAATGCTTTGCAAAGAGTGGAGAAACCGTAAGCACCACTCAGAAAATCATGCTTTATTTTGTTGTTATTTAAAGCATTCGCATTCAGCTTACAGATCCTCCACTCTTAGCGCAAAAGTAACTCTGAGCGCTCAATAAATCATTCCGTTGCCAAGTGGAAATATTGTTATTCAGATTATTATAAAATATTGTTTTTATCATAAAATATAGTGATGCGGTTTTACTAATAGTTTTCGCTTTTGATATATAAAAGAGAAAACTAAAACAATTGATCTTTTAATGCTTAAAAAAACGTGAAAGCACCACTTAACAGCTCAATGCTTATTTCAAATTGAATTGAATGTAGATATTAATGGCAAAAGGTTCAGCATGCTGCTCCAAATCAACGATTTTTATAACAAATCAAAAGATAATATCTATATTACTATTTTATCTTATTAAAATACATGAAATTTTTAAAACTGTACATAGCGCTGAACTGCCTTCAAAAGTAAATAAAAGAGTAAATACGATAAAATTTCACAAAATAGGTAAGAATAGTCATATACAATATAAAATAGCGCTTAGAAATACAAAGATGTTAGGATCATAAACTTTATCCGAAAAATTTTTATACAAAAAATATAGTTACCAAAAAGAGATAAAACGATATTGGTTAAAACATGGGTAAATAATTAAAAAGTGATGGATTGTGAGTAAAATGTTACAAAGGTTGCAGTGAGGTGGAAGTTGGCCAAACAGCAAGTGAAGATTGGGGTTGAGTGCGGCCGATTCGGAGACGTAACGCAACACAGGCAATGGGTTCAAATCAATTTTTACAGAGTGCAATTTATGATTGATTTGAAGATGCCATTGTTACAACCCTAAAGATTTCATAATATCTGTCGTACATGTATTTTTATATCTGAGAAAGGTACAGACAGAGTGAAATGGTTAATAGCAGATCGCGCAGCAACATCGGTCAAGTCAGTGCCTGGGATTCCACATGACTTGGGACAAAATAAAATATCAAACCCAATTTTATGAGGATAACTTAAATGCTGGACAAAATCTAAAATTGGATGAGTCTCCACTTCAAAATATCCTAATTGTCGAAAAATGCTCATACTGTCTGAGAATGCTTAATTTTGTTATTCAGTGATATTTATTATCATATTTCATGGGCACCCACCTATGTTTTATTTATTTCTGTCTTTTTGTCTTTCTCAATAAGGAATGTTCATGTACTTCTACTATGGCATCAAAAACAGCTCTCTGGAAATCCACACGGATAAGCCTTTGGAATTACAAATACCCGAAGAACGAATGCAAAATCTCGCTGCACCAGATAACAGCCAACAACAACAGTATATGTTACAACAGCAACAGCAGCAGCATCAAACGTATGATTACCAAGAAGAATCTTATGACGTACCCACTACAACCACTGGTAACGGCTACTTCAACCCTATTCCTGATCCATTAGAAGAAGATCCGTGGTCGAAATTCGACTAGATCCTTTTTTAAATTTAATTATGTATATTAGTGGGGTACTTGTTTTCCGTGGTGGGGCCTGTCTGGATTTTTTGCTTAAAATGAAGAAAATCTGGACATAGCCCCAGCCCTTTGAAGAAAGAAATCAATTATACTGATATACATCGATAAGACTTCAGAAACAATTTTTGTGACATGATGTCAGGGGCTTTGACACGTAACATGCATGTATAGATATCTATATTTGTACAGACTGCGAGGAAGGAAACAAAGCGGGCCCCGCTGTCATAGAGTCAATTTTCTTTTCTAAATCAAATTTGTTGTGCCTGTTTACTATACTTGTGTGTCTAAATTATGTTGACTTTCTTTGTACTTCAGCAATAATGCTATCTAAAGATTCATTGAAAATGTCTTAGATAGTTAGTGATAGAAGATGAAAGCAATTTTGGTGGTAACTTTCTTAACATTTATGATATTCGTAGGTCATAGAATTAAAATTACGAAATTCATAGTTTATTGAAAATGTAAAATTTATTGAGTTATATTTTGTCGTCATAACTTTTGTTAATCGTTAAGAAAGCTATTAACATCACAGATGATGCTGATTTATTAATTTTTAAGTACATTCAAATGTACATTCCAAAAATACAATACCTTGGGTGAATAAAACAAAATCAATTGAAAAGTGTCATTGACCGCAAATAAGTCATTAGGATATTGAAATATTCACTTTGCTTCAAATATATTTTGTGCTTTGGTCTATATACTATTGGGATTTACTTGATTCAGAAAAAAAAACAATTTTATTTAATAAAGTTCATAAATTTAAACTGTTTACTAATAAATATCACCATACTTCAAAAATAGTTGAAGACCTAAAGGGTAAAAAGTAACCCACATTTTTGTAGTTAAGTTCCTGTAACATCTAATCTATTTCTCAACAGAAATTTATGCTACTTGAGCAAAATGATAATGAATATAATTGTTTACAGTTGGGGAATGAAACTTTAATAAGACATGGCTTATTACTTTTTAACTCCGATGTCTTCGATTGTTTGGTGATTATTTAGCAAGAAACCGCCAATGCACAAAATATTTGTATGCTTTATTCAGTAAAGTGAATCTTTGTGATATTTATGACTGCCATTGGAAAACTCTCCAAAGCCTTCTTTTATGAGCCTTCTTAGTAAAAGCCAATCGCCTGTCACCATAATTATTGTAAATAGTACTACTAACCCCCTATTCGAATATATGGTACAGTCATTCCTCTTTATTAAAAGAATGCTTTATAAAAACAGTAATGTAAACATCTCTAAATTCAATTTAATATTATATCATAAGCATTATGATTACCTAATTCTTGTATTTTGAAGTATATTTGATTTAAGCCATTTAACACATAAGTTAGGTAAAACTACTTTTCTTATAGAATTAAATATGTATTCTTAATTTTATAAAATAAATAACACATTTTGCGTAAACTCTCAATAGTACAATTTATTCACATCGCGGGCGTTTATCATATTCAATTTGATTTTTACGAAATAAAACTACTAATGATTTAGCTAATTCTTTTATACTTTTTGTAAGGAGCACAATTGTTTTTCTCTCAGCACAATTGTTTTGAATGTTTTTATAAGTATGCTTAGAGAGAGATGAAGCAAACAAAATAAAATATCATCGAATCCAGTAGTTTTTTCCCCGTTTATTTCCTTTCTCTTTTTGGTATAAATTGTGAAGAATTTAATGAATATTTTGAATATTTTAAATATTTTGTTTAACAAAATATTGTAAGTAGGCAGACCTAAAATAATTAATAATTTAAGCTAATTATTTACATTTAATGATTTAAGATCGCATTATTAAATGATAAAATGCATTGCAAATATGCACAATGATAACTTGTTGTTAATATACCGGTTATTATATCAACCCAGACAAACCTCAAGATAGTCATTCCCTAGACAATTCATGAAAAACGTTATCCCCTTAACGATCGGTTAATTTTCACGAAAACGGTCATAAAAGTGCCCATTTTGCCAAATACACGTATTTGAGTAGTGCTGACATCGAGTTTAAAATAAACTAACTATCTACAATTACCTAAAAAATATCCTGGTACTGCCATCTGGTGCGTAAAATGAGAATTAAATTGTTTTCCGGGCAAAAGAAATGAATTAGTTTTTCTCTTATTGGCGCGTTACTACTGAACACTCCAGCCCGGAAGTTTCACGGGAGCGAGAAATAGAGGGCGAAACGTCACCCCGTTGTTTTCACGGGAGCGAGAAGGAAGGGGATTTATTTAATACTGGTAGAACTGTCTTGTTTTGAGGGTGTTTTTCATCTTACGCATTAGAAGAGCTTACTGAGATGACCGACAGCTAATGCAAATCAACAACAAATACAGCATCCTTGTAATTTGTGAGACTAAGGATTTGCGATATCAAATCCTTAGAGAAGGATTTAAACTGAATACACTTAAATTTTGTGAAATCACTTCGGTGTACTTCTTAAATTTTGAAAAATCACTTCCGAACAGAACCAAGACGGTTATCCACTCCGGAGGCAGAATTACAGCGTATAAAATTGTTTTTATGATTTCTCTAGGGAAGGCTAATTTTTGTCTGATGATATAATCCAACTCCAACATTTTATAAGTAAAATATCTATTTTTAGTATTTTCTTGAAACAAAAACTATGCAAATAATTCAATAAATGACCTCTACCAAGTTTACATATAAGATCTTAGTTTATTTGATTTCGTTAATTATATTTAGTAAATGACTAATATCAAGTTTATAGAAAAGATTTTATTTTATTTGATTTGTTGTTAAAGCAACAACACTATTTATCTTTGTGTATAATATTACTTAAAATTTCAAGGAATATTTGCTTAAGACTAAACTCTTTCTTAAACAACTGATATAATTATTTAAAACAAATTATTCAGGTATAAAAATATATTTCACTAGTTATAATTTTTTACTCAAAAAGTTAGCAATACATTTTTTTAACATACATTCTTTAATCATCATAATTGTAATTATGCTTTGTATAGGTGTCCGCATCGTTTCAGGTAAAATAATTTGAATTTTGAAATAATTTAAAAAGTAGTTAAAATCAAAATTGGAAATGGCAATATTTAATTCTACTGTCTCGACAGAATTACCAAATTGGATTACAAACTACAACTACTAAAATTTCAGATGTCTTAAAACTCATCTTTTATAAATATAAATTTATTATATAGTAAACTAATTACTTAAGAAAGTCGTGTAATTTTGCAATATTTAATGATGACGTAACGGGGAATCATTACAACGAATATATTGTTTTAAACGGCAACAGTATTTTGTTCTTACTACAAAATGCTAAATTTTTCGTCTATGGGTCATTATTTTTATGAAAACAGAGTAAGTGCGAAAGTGATTTATTTAATTCAGATGAAAAATTTATCAATTCAAGAAAATAGTTACAGTGCCTTTAATCTAAACTATATGTCTAATTAAAGCGTGAAAAAATTAAAAAATTTTTTAGTAATTAACCTTTTATATTTTAAAAGCCTCTACTGTGGAACATTATTCCAAAAATATAAATTTAATTTTTAAATAATATTTTAGTAAGCTGAATTTTTTTTCCAGTTTATCCACTATACATGCTGAAATCTTAGATGAAAACTTATTGTAACTTTTAAGTTTTTAAAATATTTGTTTTTTGAGTTAAGTGGCTGTGCTAAAAAATGTTAAAGTCGGTATTGAAATTTTACACAAGATTGTTTTTATTAAATTAACTTAAAAACTTTTCTTTATTAAATTCTTTTTCTAGCAAAAGGTGCTTCTAAGTCCTATATATAATTGAAAACAGAAACCGCTATACTTTAAAGTGAAAAATTTCAATGATTTTTAGTGAAAAGTTTTAGCTGTGAAAGTTCCACATGTAGTTTTTAATCGTATTATAATTCAATTGTATTGACGTGCTCTTTTCAGTATTAATATAATGCAAAAATGAAATTTATATTTAAAATTTGTATATATATATATAATTTTAAGAATACATTTTATTTTCAATAAATATACTGTTTTAATTTATAGAAATCAGAGAACACCAATAGCAATATGAAAATTAAAATTATTGAAGTTTACGTTACATTTGTCTTTAAAAACCAGGTTTGGCCTATTCTTTTAATTTCAATCATTCTGGGATGCGACTAGAAGTTGTCGCATAAGATAGTCCTGTTGTTGGTCATAAAACATACTTACCTTTAAAAAAAACTAATTGGCTGATGTGCAGATTGTTTTACAGCACAAAATTGCAAATAATCGCAAGGTCTAAAATATATTAAAATATTGTAATTTAATTAAAAAAAGTGCCAAATGTGTAACCATTATTTCGAGAAGTCAAGTGATTAAATATAATACTCACCTTTTCTTAAAATATGCTTAACGTGTCTTAAATAAAATTAGCCCTAGCTATTTTCAATGAAAATCAATAGAATGTAAATGGAAAATGTAAATGGAAATAAAATGTACATTGAAATTTATAAATAAAAGAACTTCTGATTTAGGATGTGTATTAAAACACTAGTAATTTTTATATAGGTGATCAATATATATCAGCTAAATTGCTGACAGCACATTTAAGAAAAACAACCTCCCTTACCGAAAAATTTAGGAATTTCAGGTAATAATAGAAATTAACTGCGACAGTAACACACCCACGTTTTTAGTTTTAAATTTAAAAAAAAATTACATTATTTCTCTAATTTCCTTATTTTAGTTTCGTGTTTGCCAGTTAGCTATTGTCAAAAAATAATGAAATTTCTCTTTAAGATAAATCCCTATCTGGAGATAAAATAAAAATTTATTTTAGTTGCAGCAGTCAGGGACTAATTAAAACTTGCTCTTTTTGACATAGAGTTTGACATTCTTAAAACTTACTCTTTTTGACATTTTAAAGTTGAAATATGAGTCGGGAAGTGGTTGAAATTTCGATTGCATAACTTACCACCCGACAGAGACGAAACAAAAATGTAAAACGTCGTAAAACGGAAATCAGTTTTCAAAATTCTTTACCGATTGGAGATAAAATAAAAATAAATTCTTCTTGAAGCAGTCATGGGCTAATTAAAACTTGCTCTTTTTGACATAGAGTTTGACATTCTTAAAACTTACTCTTTTTGACATTTTAAAGTTGAAATATGAGTCGGGAAGTGATTGAAATTTCGATTGCATAACTTACCATCCCACAGAGACGAAACAAAGTTGTAAAACGTCGTAAAACGGAAATCAGTTTTCGGAACGGAATTTTTTCAATCAGTTTTCAAAATTCTTTACCGATTGGAGATAAAATAAAAATAAATTCTTCTTAAAGCAACTAATTAAAACGTGTTGCTTTATCCGGCATTGGTTTCCACTGAATCCGGCACTGAAATTTCAGTTGTCTAGCAAGCTGGAATGAGTTAGAATTGATGGCAAGATTTACCCCTTAAATACGAAAGCGAGTAAAATAAAACGTGGTAAAATAAAGAGGGGGGAAAATGCTTTATTTGAAAAATCAGTTTTCAAAATTCTTCAGCAATCGGTAGATTTTATCAACTTGTGATATATCTAAGAAATGAATTTAATTTGAATTAAATGGAGGCCAATGTAAGGAATCCAAAGCTTAATTCTAGCTTGCCCTCTTTACTCTGTGATTTATTAAATGTAAATTTGTAAAAATGCTAAAAATATGAGAGCAAACTAATTTAGTTTTTATTGGTTTATATCTTATTACTACTATTAAATAAATAAAAGAAATATTGAAATTCTCAAGGAAGTTTTAAGGACAAGGACTTTACTATGCATAACTCTTTAGTCGTATCGAAAGTGGTGCTCAAAATTTCCTTATTGTTGTGCGATTCAATAAAACTTTAAAAAATAAATCAATGAAGTAAATTCTATGTTTGATATCAACGTGGGGCTATGCTATAAACTTATTCAGACTACTTTACAATTAACTATCCATGTGAACAGATATCAAAAAATGTGAAGTATTCTTTTTCTTAAAAATCATAAAACAGATAAAGGTATCAATTTATGAACAATATTTTCATTCTATAAAAAGAATCAGTTTTTCTAATAACACAAGCATAATTTATTCCTACTATTTAATTATGTAATTTTAAAAATGTATA